TGATTCTGATCTCTCATATATAATCCAACAGATTTTCTTGAGAACTCCCTTGAAATTTTGAATGCAATACTTTAATTTTTAGATAACATACCGCACTGTAACTTTATGGCCACATAAGTGCATAGCCTAATAGGATGATACATTTGCATCTGTTGCCATGTAATGCCTGTAAGACTTTTTTCAAATCTTGCTTTTTCGAATGTTCGAAGCTGCCCCCTTGTGGTCAGATCCACTTCCATTGTGTTGTAGCTTCATTTCTTCGGTCCTGATTTATATTCCATTTTTGTTGTGAACCAATGGTTGCTTCGTAGTTTTCATTGTGTTGGGTCTGCCAGTTCCTTCTGGGCTGCTTGTTGGGGATCTAGCACCCAGTTATGGCCCCACGCTCTTTCCTTGACGTGACTAGCATACAAAACTTTTGCCTATATAATAAAGTCACTGAAAGCAAACAACAGTCCTACTTTTATCAAGGGCATGATTCTCTAAGGGTGCTGTGTTGCTGTGCTCCAAAAACATTAGGATTGCTGCTGGTGAAATAAAGGTTAATGCCACTGAGCAAACAAACAAACAGAGCTTTTCTCAGAGCACATTCACAGTCAATCACTTCAGTGTGGCTGGGAGGAAGGACCCTCTTGGGTCTGATTCCGCTTTGGCTAACAGGACGAGAGGGAGTCTGATGAACAGGCCTTTGATGGCCTTATGGCTCGCGGCTCCATCATAACTCTTCTGAACACCTCCCTCCTCCCATTAGTCTCCTGCATTACCTCAGCCCATTCCCTCTCTCTCCCTTCAGCCTCAAAACCAAATTTCATTCTTACTCTCTTCATCCATCCATCACCATGAACACCTTCTGGACTTCCAAAAGGGGAAGAAAAGTCCCAAACCACTAACTGTGTGTTTACACTTTTATTTCCCTTTCAGACTCAAAATCAATGCAGCCTAACAATGCCAAACAGGGAAATCTCCAGGGCAACTGAGCTGTCGATAGACTGAGTATCTGTTTCTCTAAAACCAAGGATCTGCCAGTAACCGCTATTGCATTTTAAAAATATAAAGACCCTGAGATCAACAAGTTGATCCATATTTAAAATGAACTGTTTACTAATTGGTGTCGCAGTGAGGTTGTGCGTTTCTCAGGCAGTTGAAGCACTAGAATTGACCCAAAAATGAAAATTCTGTCATTATTTACTCGCTCTCTTGTCGTTCCAAATCCTGTATTGTTTTCTTTCTTCCATGGAACTCAAAAGGAGAAATTTTGCACAACGTCATTCCAACTCACCATGTTAAGATCGGTCATGGTTAACGTCACCCTGGCACGTTTCTTGAGATGTTTGAATGTGCACAAATGTGAATGGAAGGGCAAAACAGACTCAATGGAAAAACATGCTTCTCTTCTTACATTTTTGCAAAACTCAAAAAATTTACCTATACAAACACATCACTGCAGTTTCCAACTCTAAACCACTAATGGCAATAAAAGACCAAAGACCTTTATTACTTTTCACACAAATACTGGTTACAGGGGCAGAGTATCAATTAATTAAGATTCAGATGCATAGTTCCTTACACAATACAACTATGCCGTGACCTAAAGATATTTTTCTGGTGTTGTAAACTTGCTCGGTATCTCACTTGGTACAGCATGGCAGTCGCAATGTCAAGAGCTTGGGTATGAGTCCCGTAAAAGACGCGAGTCATGATAAAAATTCTCAAACACTTGTAGAAGCAAGCTATCATGGCACTGTTGCTTCAGCAAATGTGTTTTTATTATATTTTTACTATAGTTAACACTAACAATCAGATTTAGTGGTGGTACAATATGTTATTTTCAAACGTAATGGAGTATTAACCTTTTAGTGCCATTCACTGGATATTTCACTTCTGAACTGCCACAATATGTATGACAACCAGTGAAAAAAAAACATTGCAAGATTCACATTCATTTGTTTCAAATAAATCTGAACACGTTTTTAGCACCGCTTGCTGAAAGTGGTCATATCATTTAACTAAAATCTTGCCACAGGCACATTTTTACAACAAGCCTGGGTTGAATTTCTTACATTTCAGTCGGTTCTTCACACAACGTATGGCGCAAGAGTCATACAGGCTACATTTGTGGCGCTTTTTTGACTTGACTGAAGTGATGACAACTATATTTACATCTGTTAAACAGCAAGGCCAGCACAACAGTTTTTCTGCATTAATCCTAATTTGAACAAACAATGAATGGAACATGCTGAAACCTTAGTTGTAGTTGTTTAAATTCTATAAATTCAATAAGCTGAAAGAATTTCAAAAAAACATTTTAAAAAGCCCCAAACGGTGCAATCCACAGCTTCAGCATGTTTTAAACTCGTCCTGGGAATAAGTTCAAGTGGTCCTGAGCCAAAGAAATTCCAGAAGATTCATTTTTCTGTTCGCTTCCCTAAATCTAACTTGCGGGAAAAGATTGCTGAACTGCGGCCCATTATTCATTAAAAGGTTATATCTGGTTTATTTCTGGAACTTTGACTATGCAGAAACATACTTTTAGAGTAATGCATATTTTTCTTTTATTCAGGTGGCCTTATTTCCAGTTGCTATTGGAAATAATATTTTTCATGTTCTGGTGTGTGATGTTGCTATCTCTTCCCTTTCACTACAGGTACCGTCTCTTTTCTTGTCTGACCTGGCGTCAGGCCCATTTCTCGTCAGTAGACCAATCCCGCTCCTCCTCTGGGGTTCCTGTCCCCCTATTCAGCTTGTGCAAACAGGAAATGATCCGTCTTCAGAAACACCAGTGGACCGCAGAGGCGTCTGAGTCGGCCTTTACCTAGTGTTCCTGGTCATATAAGACTTTAAGCTCTGGACGATATCAATGTGTCATCAATACATATGTTAAACTATATCTCAGCAATGCAAAGCAACCATAACTCACCTCTTCTGTTAGATTAAGTGTTGGCTTGAATCCATCACACATCTTGAATGCTTCTTGATTCTCCTTTTTGTAGGTTCAACACTGCCCGGTTGGTCCTCCATTGTGTCTGTGCCCATCTGATGGCGGCTGCATTCTGGAGGGTGTAGTGGGTCAGCTCAGGTGTTGAAGGACAGGCGGCAGTTTACAAGCGCCCATCGTTTGCTTAACCCTTCGATTAGGGTGTAGGAATGTCAGCTATGGGGGGATTTAGCGGTCCCGACAGCATCATTTGACACCTCAGCAATCTGTCACGGCAGAGTGGCGAAGAACTAATAGTCTGCTCGCTCTGGACACAAAGGTGGCTCGCTTGCTCAGGGCCCATTCTGTCCAAAAACTGAGCTCCTTTATATTTTTTTCTTCTGCCATGTGTAAATATTGTGTCTATGGAGCGACGTGACTCAAATAGAAAATGCTGAATAGCTCTGTGAAAGAAAAAGAAAGACTGGATTCCAGAGGCAGTAATAAATGACTCAAAGTTGCTTATCCAGCTAAGCTTGGGGCATCGAGTTTATTATTTATTTGAACTAACATCATGAACATTGTTACAAAGGATGAGGCGTTTAAATAACATGGCAAATGAAATTTGAATCAATGAAAGGTCAATACCATTAATGTTGCTTTAGCTACATCTTTAATTCAGAACATATTGATGGTTCTGAGTTAATAAAAAAATGCAAAGCAGTGCTTTCCTCTGGAAAGCAATTTTAAATACTAAATTACAGTATTTGGAGTGTGATATGAAACATGCCATTCTGCAGCTTTCCAGACAGTTTATGGATTTACAATAAAAGTACCACTTTCCAGTACAATGCTCCATGCTGTTGTTACTTGATGGAAGACAGTAGTAGTAGTCTTGCATACAGCAACAATCTACTGGAAGAGTATTATCAGACTTTTTTTTGATGAAAGATAGGAATTCTGATGTTATTAAATGACTTCTGCGAGCATGCCAGTAAGTAAGCTAAAAATAGCCTCTTTACAATCCTGCCAACTCAAAAAGTCTTACAAAAAGTACATATACAAAATAATGTTTTTTTTTCCACAAACCAAAACACTTGTACCAACAGAATTTATGTACATTTGTAAAGTCCGGTAACACTTTACAATAAGGTCCCATTAGTTAACGTTGGTTAATGCATTTACTTCACAATAAGCAATACATTTGTTACAGTATTTGTTAATCTTTGTTAATGTTAATGATTAAAAATACAACTGTTCATTGTTCATGTTGGCTCAGGTCCATTAATTAAAATGATACAAGATACAAATACAACTTTGGATTTAAATAATGTATTAGTAACGTTGAAATTACCATTAACAAAGACAAACAATGCTTCAGAAGTATTTGTTGTTGTTGTTGTTAGTTCACTTTAACTGATGTACTGAACTAATGTTAACAAACGGAACCTTATTGTACATTGTTACCAAATGTCTTAATGGCTCGCTCACACAATGGATGGAATGGAAAAGATGCGGTTTTAACTTTTAACTTCACTTGGCTTGTTAACAACAAGCACACGATGCTATAAAAGTAGCAAACCTAGCATAACAGTCAAAGACGTCCGTTTAGCAAATGTTTATATGTGAAAACAGTTAAAAGTGGCATATCGAAACACAAAAATGCAGTCTGTGTGAACCAGCCCTACGATTGCTACAAATAAACTTCATGTACAAATGAAACTCAGATGCTTATCTGACTCCATATATCAAAACGTTTCCTTTCAATAATACAGTCGTTCAGAATGATTAAACACTTTTGCAAACCTATAGTCTTAGGTTTAAGGATAAATTTACAATAAGTTCATCCAAGCTTGTCGGTAAGAGCAACACTGCTTTAGACAAGAGCTGCAAAATACGACTGCAAAACAATCCCAATATGACAAATCCTCATAAGACAACATGGTTTGAATCAATTAAAACATTATTATATGTATTATACTGCACCAGTACCGTATGTGCCATTGGCTTTACTCCATCAGATGTAACGGAAACTCAGATGCTTATCTCACTCCATATATCAAAACGTTTCCTTTCAATAATACAGTCGTTCAGAATTATTAAACACTTTTGCAAACCTATAGTCTTAGGTTTAAGGATAAATTTACAATAAGTTCATCCAAGCTTGTCGGTAAGAGCAACACTGCTTTAGACAAGAGCTGCAAAATACGACTGCAAAACAATCCCAATATGACAAATCCTCATAAGACAACATGGTTTGAATCAATTAAAACATTATTATATGTATTATACTGCACCAGTACCGTATGTGCCATTGGCTTTACTCCATCAGATGTAACGATGATTAATATTAGATCAATATTTTTATGGTATTATCTTTAATAGCTGTGATCTTTGGCATGCATTTCAAAATTGTATGCCAAGTTATGATGTGTTTAAAAGGTCACCAAAGTTCAAAGCCAATAATAATATGCAGTTTGCACAATCAATACAATCAGGCTGGAGGATGGATGTGCTATTCTTTGCCGAAAATGTCCCTTGTAAATAGCACTGTAAGTCACCATTAATGCTGCATGCTATGGTTTTCTTCACTTTGACAGGAATAATGTACACAATAAAAAAAAAAAATATATAATAATAATAATAATATATTGGGGTAAAAAAGCATAAAAATGTGAAGTAAAGTATCACAACCCAAATTTAATTGTGCAACACGTTTGTATTAAACATTAATAGGTCCTTTTAGGATATTGAAGGACATTCAAGCTGCTTTAAATTCACTTGGAGACTTGAAAGCCAGATGAGCACGGGGCAATTGCTAGACGATGCAACCCAATACACTACCATCAAAGGTGATGTGCCTGCCTCAGCAGTCCACAGGTCCTGAGTGACAAGTGAATGGCACTTGAATTCATACCTCTGATATTTAAAAATAAAAGCCCAGCCAAGTCAGCTCCTGCCCTAAATTCCCAAAGAGCATGCCATCTCCCATGTAGTCCCACAAAGGTGATAGGACAGCCTTCTATTCACAGGATTCCTGTTTCCTGGAGAGCTGTTATCTCAAAAGAATGCTGCATTATCCACATGGCAAGCAGCTAACCACTTATACAGTGTTACTTGATAAAGTCATGGGCCAAAAAGTAACACTTTACCAAAATGTTTTGGGCTATTTGAGGAGGACTATGAGAAGTCGGCCGGTCGAATCATCATGACAGTGGATCGGAGAGAGTAGCTGGGGCCTTTGAAATAGTGCCACTTGATTCCATTGAATTTCCCGACATGTTGTCCTTGTCTGTAGTACACCCCGTTCAGGTTGGATGGGCCACAGGCATCATACCACCATCCTAAAACAAAAACATTTACAATTGAGAACAACTGGTAATACAGTTATATATATATATATATATATTCAGGATCGCATTATCTTGAAAGAAAGCTAACAAATGCAATAGCACACAACATAAATCATATATACATTGTAACAGAGTCATTTTAATTACTGTACTTTTCTTAAAAAATAAATAAAAATACAACCACATCATAAAAAGCCACTTCTGGCCAGGCTAACAGCTTTGCGTAAAGTAGGTTTCTGAAACTAGATGCCTAAAACATTGATTGTACTTGTGTGATACTATTTTGGTTTATTATTTCAGATTATCAACTATTTTTATTGCTGATAGTCTAGTTGTGTATTTGTCAGGCTATGCAGGCAGCTTTGAAGCTGGATCCAACAGTATGCAGGTGCTATGTGGTCACTGTGGTATAGGAGTGAGTGAAACGGTAACCTTTAAGGTATTTAGGAAAAGTGTATATATATATATATATATATATACAGTATATACTTGAAGGTAACAGAGTAAAGAGGATGTGCCAATCATATGTTTAACATAATTGTTTAAATCAACTGTTTGAGTTTGAGAAGTCTGTTCTGTGGTTTTCGAAGTGCTATTTGTGTTAATGCCTGTCTTGACAGATGCACTTTTAATAGCATGTGCCGTATACTGAGGGGTGACCTGATATGATGGACTTGAGCTTAAAAAAAGTAGTCTCCCAAAATGTCTTCAAGTCATGTCATCATTTACTCATCTTCATGTCTTTTAAAAACTGTATGATTTTCAGAGGAACACAAAATTAGTTATTTATAGTAAAACTTCCATGCTGTTTTTTCCTGATACAATGAAGGTGAATGGTGACCAAAGCTAAAAACGCAAGATTTTCAGTTCAACAACTTAAATTTCAGTCTGCTCCCTCACACCAAGCTATCATATTGTTTCATAGGACTCAAAATAGCCATAAAAACTAATATTATAATGTTTATGCTTTTGCTTTTTTAAAATCTTGACAGACCTTAGTGCCCATTCACTTTCATTATAAGTAAGAAAGAAGCATGAACCTTCTTCTCAGAAAAGAATGAAACTTGCATGAGTTTGAACCACAAGAGAACAAATAAAGTACATTTAAAACTGGAATACTGTGTTTTGCTTGCAAATCATTATCATTTGTTATCAATTGTTATCATCTAGCTTTAAGATCCTCGGATGTTCTCCAAAAGTCACTGTGGCATTATTTTAGTATAATTTATAATAGCATTAAGTATTATTTAAATGATCTTTTACTGATGTATTTTCAGTATTCATTATAATTAAGTTTAAGTTTTAGTAATTTTGTTATGTGCTTTTGTAATTTTTAGTAGTCAGTTTTATTTAATAATTGTAGTATTTCAACTTGAAATGTTATTTGAAGTTTTTTGTCTAGTTGTTGTTTTCGTCTAAAATATTCTTTTTTATAATATAGTTAATAATAACAACACTGAGTCACTGTATAACTTTTCAGCACATTAAATACAATTAATCTGGCCTGTTCATTCAATTAGACACGTATACACAAAAGAGTGCCCATTTTGGCACGTCTCATTCCCATGAAGAACTTGAGGTTCACTTCACAAGCTCAAATGCCAGAGAGATCTGTGACATTTTAACAGCCGTCCCGTGAGCCAAATACGCTGCCCTTTATCACGGCTCTCACTGACACAGTAAACTGATTGGATGCTGATTCTACTTGTTACTATGCCTTCGCATCTCAGGCCGTTAGCTGGCCGAGGTCTTCGGTTGTCTCTAGGGTATGTGTTTTATAAGCTTGTTAACCACACTGCATAACAAGAAATGAGGCAACAGAATGATAAAAGTTTGATTTCATGATATAAACCAGAGCTGGAACCAATATGTCTTTCATTAAAGCACTTACGCTACAGAATTTAAAGGGTTCTACTTCGAGACTGACAATTTCAAACATTTCCATTATGAAAAACTTTCATTAAAAATCTTTCAGTGCGACACTACTCTGTTTTATTAATTGCACTGCCCAAATCCCCTTGCACATACAGCAGATTTATGCATGTCATCCTACTGTAAGGCTCACATTTATTCTCATCCTGATATTAAATATCTCAGAGATGAATCACTGTCAGGGTCTCATTTAGCATGTGGCCACCAAGGACAGAGAAGGTGACAGCAGATTTGGGTGGACAGGATTTCTCTCGATGTCTGCTTTATTAAATGATGCACAGTGATTTGAGACCCGAGAGCTTCCTGTGTGAAAAGTAAAAGTTGTCTGTGGTTTGCATCCACTAGGAGAGACTGTGGGAGTCCTATACAGACCTACAGATACTTGGTGTTCAGCCCATTCTGGTAGACTCCTCACAGGATGTGAGTCCACAAAGACCTCATTACTACTTGCTCAAAGCTTTATGCAGTTCTTTTGCCAAAAAGAAAGCATAAGGTGGTGCTATACACAGCAGTTAGCTGTGTACATAGACACAGACAGTGTTTAGACTGGAACCTACTGTCTGCACACTTCACAAAGTCTTAATTCACAATGGGACAAGAGTGTACGCAGAGCGTAACATTATAGCAGCTCTTTAAGTAGTTTATTTGATTTTTTTAAACAGAACGATTCATGATTGGGTTCTATTCTTAAGTTGTGCTGATGTGAATAGAACACTTTACAGAAAAACTGTCTACAGTGAAAAACATTTAGCGCAGTGTATTTAGATTCCTTAAAAAATTACTCTTTTTTTTTTCTTAGTGAATCAAAAACATACAGTGTGACAAGTGCAACTCACTTTACAAACAAATGACTCTCGTGAACCAGTTCTTATTAATGAATCAAAAGAATACAGCATGGCAAGCACATTTTGATTACTGACTAATGATTCTTTTTAGTGAATCAAAAAAAACAAAAAACATGAATGATTCATTTGCAGAGGTTACTGATTCAATCTCATCTGACTTTCTGAACTGCAAGTTACTAGTTTTCAAAGTATCATTACTTTTCATACATAAAACACAAAAATAAAAATAAAAATAAAATCTGTAAAAATAAATCTAAAATCCTAATATAAAATCTGTTCTAGGTCATTTCATCGTTTGGCAACAGTAAATGCAACAAAATTAGCATTTCGTATTTACAAAAAAAAAAAAAGAATCTTTAACAGAAATGTTAAAATCATTCTTATTATATATGTTCCGAGTATTCACTGCACTAGCTGCATATCATTAAAAAAAGTAAATGTTCTACTTTTCCCGTTGTAATGCATTTAAAAGCTTTTATTCTACATGCAATGGCAGTATCATTTTGAGGATCAAGGCTAGTGAATCCCAAGAACAAGAACAAACTTGTACGGCTGGAATAGATTAATATATTCAGCAGCAGTGAGCTAAAACAGAGGATTTCTTCCTTACCCCCGCTGAGCATCAGTGCACACTTGCACGTGCAGTTGTCATTGTCCATGTCTTTAGTGCTGAAGTCAGCGCCGTGGATCGCCAGACTGCTTTGTCTGCCCGCTGTCCCGCTGTGGCTCTTCAGGAACAACCTGAGACAGAGGGAGGACAGAGAAGAAGAGAGGGGATAAGAGCACAGAGAAAGACTTTGTAAACAAGGAAGCCTTAGACAAGAAAAATTACTGCCAGAAACATCCACGAGTGATTTATGCAGATTACCTTCACACTCATGACCCATTCTTTACTGTTAGCATCAGTTTTTAATAGTATTGGCCGGGAAACCCCATACCATTTAATCCAAACACCAAAGCACACGTGGAAACCACACAGAGTGTGTAATTCAACTCCAGCCATCTACACTTGAGGATTTCAACCGCAAATTCAAAACCCTCACTTAATGCAGGCTTGGATTCAAATGCTTAATTTTATGCAGCACTGACGCCCAGAGTTTGGTGGTTGAAGGGTGGCCTATGATTTTCCCATCTTGCTTCATTGTGTCACCAATAGTTCTGCCCAAGGTCTTAACCTGAGGGTTATTACCCCTCTGACTGTTTTGTTTTTTTTATCCAAAGTGTCATACTCAAAGCCAAAATACTATACTGCATGGGCATGCCAGCAGTGAAAGGAACACCAAATGAAACATGTTCGGCCCCTCAAAATCATTTCCTGAAAGTCATCGCCACAAATAAGATCAGACAGTAGAGTGAGCTTTATAAATCTCTTCTAAGATGAATCTTGGAAAGCAACTTGGGAAATATATTTTTGGTTATGCTTTTAGGGATGTCCAAAGAGGCCAGTGATGCAACAACAGGCTTTAGAGGCCAAGTGTGTGATTGCCGTTCTTATTGTTAAGTGGGATTTTTTTCTTACATTTTTTGGTCCTCACACACATCATCCATCTTATAGACTCTCTTATAACAAGCTGTCTAATCATTTTAAAGCCCCCTACATCAAATAACGGTTGCAAACTTTCTTCAGTGACATAATGTCCATTAAGATGAAGTGCGTTGTTGTGGTCTCTAAACAAAGATAAATGAACTGGTTGTTTGTCCGGATATGCTTGATGCCAAACCAATGTATTTTGTTCTTCGCTGACACTAAAGACTATATTTTAACAGCCATTTTATAATACACAAATGCAATACTGATTGCACTTGTTCAGAATGACTGCATGCTTCATTTAGATGTCAAACTTGTCAAGTTTCACTTTTTATGAGGAAATAAACTTCCAGGACATCCTCAGAATTTTAACGGCAGACACAAACATGTTGCTGCATAATTTGACTTGTAACTGCACAATTTAACTGCACTTTACAAGCTCACTACTTCATAGACCTTAGCCAGACACCGTATTTAATACATTTTTTATTCATTTAAATTGATTTTTACTTTTTAAAATTGTTTTTATTCAAATTAAAATCACTATTTCAAGAGAGACCTGTCCAAAATGCACAAACATTATAAAAATGTGACTAAATACTATAATACTAAATACTCAATATACATTAAGAGTGTGACAAGTTTACATTAAAACACTGACACTGGCCAACATATAAAAGTTATTTTCAGAAACAATTTTTGTCTTATGCAGTGATGCACATAAATCATCAAATTTGTGCGCTATAATTTAAAAGTGATTGAATATTAACATATATCTTTCAAAAGTTTGGATGCAGTAAGATTTTTAAAAATGTTTTGAAAGAAGTCTCTCATGCTCACTAAGGCTGCATTTATTTGATCAAAAACACAGTAAAAACAGGAATATTGTGAAATATTATTACATTTTAAAACAACTGATTTCTGTTTTATTTTGACATGCAATTTATTCTTGAAATGGCAACCAAGAAACATTTTTTATTATTATTAAAGTTATTAATGAAATAGTAGTCAAACCTAATATTTTTGTATAAAGTGTGACTCATTTTAGGATTCTTTGATTAATAGAAAGTTCAAAATAACAGCATTTATATAAAACAAAAATATTTCTGAATCATTATAAATGTCCTTACTGTCATGTTTGATCAATTTAATGCATCTTTGTTGAATAAAAGTATTAATTTCTTTAAAAAAAAAAAAAAAACTTACTGACCCCAAACTTTTGAACAGTCTATTGATAGATAATCAAACAGTGCTTTACAAAACTGTTCCAGTTGAAGAACCCTGGTTCAAAGCATTCAGATCAAGTCCCTCACACACAAAAACCAGGTGAATAAATGCACACCTGCTCATCTCCAGTCACTGTAGTTTCAAGTAGGCAACACACTCAAGTCTTGTGCGTTCAGTTACTGTTGTCCCACAAATGTCATGTCATGCTATGGCCTTTTTTTCAGTTTTGAGCTCAAACATCTGCATGGCCAACACAGGATATTGTTCCTTATCCTCCTTCTCACCAGCTTCAATGAACAGTCCAAGCCTTACTAGGAAAAGCTGTAATGAAAACTGAGAATGGAATGAGATTTATTTGGTGTTTCACAACAGCACCCCGAGGGAAGTGTTCTGGTGTCCGGTCATTTTATTTTCCTAATCTGAAATGATGGCAGTTTGGTAATGTTCCTCACCGGATATGTGATGTTTATTCTGAGTAAAAGAGGATGTATGGATGTGTTTTTCCTAGTTGAAATCATGTTCATCAGATGAACATGCTCCAAAACCTAAACTATTATTCTGCAACACAAACTAAAAGAAGGCAGGAAGCAAATACACAGTCCTTTTACAGTACAGCAGCAGAAAAACAAAAACCTGAGTGCTATAAGTCACACGTGCCATAGGGGTCCATACGTCAGAGACCCTTGCCAAAGACTGAAAATAAAAAGCCTTATATATCGTTTCCTCTCTGCAGCTGTGGGACATGTCAAAACCCATCTTAGTGTAGTGTGATAAACGTGAGGCCCACTCCTGAGAGGAACCCACGGTTAGCTCCTGCCGTGCGCCTTTAATCTGTCACATCCCATCTGAAACATGCAACGATCCTGCAGCGGTAATATTTCTTTAATTTGGTAATGTTGCTGTGGAATTTATGTCTCTGGAAACATGAAATACTGTATACAGCATCTTAAAGATACTCTAATGACAGTCACTGCGCCCTTTTGCTGCATGGCCCAAAACAGCTTAAAATTACATTTTCATCTAGGAGGTGAAAGTGATAATTCACGGTTACTTCTTTTTGACCTCATCTGGATATAACATTGAGCAAATAATGTACAAAAACTGGCTGTCAATAAAGGAGACCTTTGAAATGTGTCTGTGCGCCCTTTTGCTGACAGCACTTTGGAAGAACCTTGTGATATTGATAGTATACACTTTTAATGCTTCAGCAGAGAGTTCACAGCCTTCAGGGTGTGTGTGCCAAGACCTCCATACAAAATTCACACCAGACACAGCTGAGGTGATCTTTACAAAATCTGTGGATTTAAAACTTGGCTGGATGGAAGATATTAAATCAAGATCATTTCATCTGCTTTCAAAAACAAACATATACTGTAGCACAATTATGTCTTTCTGGGACCTGAAAAGCAGGCATATCTTGCGGTTTGACATCACTTGTGTCTGTGCATATACTCAAGTCACTCTTGGTACTGGATTGTGACCTAATAACATTTCAGGTACAGTATATATGCTTTACTGAAGCCACATGGCACTATTTTAAAAATCAAATGTAACCCTGGACCACAACACCAGTCATAAGGGTCCATTTTTTTTTAATTTAGATTTGTACATCATCTGAAATCTGAATAACTAAGCTTTCCACTGATGTATGATTTGTTAGGATAGGATGATATTTGGCCGAGATACAACTATTTGAAAATCTGGAATCTGAGGATGCAAAAAAAAAAATCAAAATATTGAGAAAATCGCCTTTAAAGTTGTCCAAATTAAGTTCTTAGAAATGCATATTACTAATCAAAAATTAAGTTTTGATACGTTTATGGTAGGAAATTTACAAAATATCTTCATGGAACATGATCTTTCCTTTTCCTGATTTTTGGCATAAAAGAAAAATCAATAATTTTGACCCATACAATGTATTGTTGGCTATTGCTACAAATATAGCCGTGCTAATTATGACTGGTTTTGTGGTCCAGGGTTACAAATGAACATGTTTACTTCAGGTGCTTTCTCAGTTTCAAAGTAGTCCTGTCAACTTCCCTGCCATTGTTATTTACCAGGTCAGTTGATACTTTAATCTGAAACATAACAAAACACAATTTTTTTTTGTTTTTATGCCTCATTGGGGGACACAAAACACTGATCAAAAACAAAATTAAACAAAAACAACATAAAACAAAGCATGCAAAACAAAAACAACAGAACAAAAACATACAAGAAATACTTAAAAACAACAGAAAACAAAACATACAAAAAACTTAAAGACCACTCAAAACAAATAAAAACAAAAACTCTAAAATCAACAAACAAACAAAAAATACGAAGAAAGTGTTTGTTTTCAACCCCTCATTGCATTTACCTATGCAATATTGAGAATTAGGTCTTCTATTTTTAAGACTGTTTTTAAAAACAAAGTCGAGTACATTGTGAGCAATAAAATATCAAAATGCTGAAGTTCCAGTGAGTTTATTTTGGCTTTTAACTGCTGTTCGCCTTTTCTACTGATTGTTTCCCCCTCAATTATTTTGTACCTCATCCTCTCTCCTAATTTAAAGCTTAATGCATATTTTACTCAGAATGCCCACACAAACACACGCTCATGCAAAAAGATCATCATGGTCATCAGCATATGTTTTGTTCTGGATGCTGGTTCCCAGCATGGGACGCTGGAATGCTAGTTTCCCCACCAAACTTTTAAACTACTGTAGGTTAACCAGCAAGACTTGCTTGGTGAATCAGTTCCATGTGAAAACACTGTGGCTCTGCTGGCGCAAATCAGCCTGGACAGAGCTGATTTAAGCAGGTCTTCTCAGCAGGGATATACACACTCTACTCAATCAATATACAAAGCAGCCATGTAAACACAGGCGGAGTCTGGGTGTCTGTCAGTGCTGTGGGCATTGGCGCTGGGTCAGTGGCATTCAGCCAGGCAATATGAGCAAGACTGACCCCCCGGCATGACCCCATCCCAATGGGAAAACAAGGTTGCAGCAGCACTGTCAGGTCCCTTCAGAGACTGACCCCTACCCTCCATAACTTTCCTTGTGTAGGTTTGCCATATAAACAAAACACTGGGCTCTCCCCAATTCCAGCTCACACAACACTCATACAATAAAAAAAAACTCAAACCGGCTGCTGTAAAACTTCCACATTATGAAACAAATATATATAATTCATTCTGAATTATTGCTAGATATCATTTTTCAACTCTTCCTTACATGGCTTATTAAAATAGCCGAATAAAAATGCTTCTGCTCGGCTGGAGATTGGGAATGTAATTTATGATCACATTCAATATAGTGATGTAGAGCACTGTATAGGTGCCAAGCTAACATTAGCACAGCATTGATCTTTTGAAGCAATTACGCTCAAGATCCATTTAGCTGATTGTTACACTCCCCGAAATTAAGGAGCTTCAGAATTCATAAGTTGTGTAAACATGACTGTAATAAGAGCTGGTGTTTATCAGCAGCATCTGCAACAGCGCTCTCAAAATTGTCAAGAAATTTTATACATGACATAAATGGTGTAATAGGTATTTTTCTTCATGTCAGTTTCCTCTCTCCTTTTTGCCATGCTATATTTTTTATAATTTTTCTTCCTCAGGTTATGCAGTTTTAAAATACACAATTTTCTGTATTACAGGATGGAGAAAATTACATAATAGTGAAGGAAAAATATATAGCACTTATGCACAAAGATGCAGCAGTCTGACAGTTTAAACCATATACATAGGTTTATAATACCTGGAGGTCCATATACAGTATATATATATGTGTGTATATATGTATATATGTGTGTGTGTATGTGATATTTTCCAATGTTGTCACTGCAGATATATCACAATGATTATGTCAATTATATTGAATGGATGCATTGTTTTGCCAGATCCACCGCAGTTGACATGCACTTCCATTGTGGTCGATGTAAACCAATTATTGTAAAATCCCTAGTAAATCAAATGCTGTCCATTGTTCACCAGTCAAAACTAAATTGCGAGACTGAGACAGTGACCCTGTGGTCTACCCATATCAAAAGTCAGTGTAGTGTCACAGGCATTGATTATTTTCACAATTGCTGTCATGGTCTGCCTATTCAGTGCTCCTGAAACCAGTTGAAGTTTCCACTGCATAAGCCTAAAAAGTCTGCATAGGGCAGAGCTGTGGTCAGTTAGCTCCACCGAGGCATATAACATTACTTTGTGATAGCGGTAGATAACTATACTTGAGGTTTGCCAAAAGAATGCACAACACCTGGAAAAAATGTAATTGGAAAGGTTATTTTTTCCATGCCAAAGTCTGATTTTCATCTTGTTTTAGTGTTTACACTAGAGTATATCTCAGTCTACACTTGATTTTTTTGCTGAAATATTCTTGACTTAAATCCATGTTGTAGCACAAAGGTTAAAAATACACACACACAAGAAACACCAACCTGAATTACAACACGCAAAACATATGTGTTAAATGTTTAATATATTTTAAAATTAGATAGAAATAGAATTTCTTTACTGTTACTTTTGATTAATTTCAAGCATCCTTGCTGAATAAAAGTAATACTTTCTTTCAAAAAAGAATGTAATTAAAACATAATTACACCAAACTTTTCATCGGTAGTGTGCATATATGCCTATATGCATATATGCCTCGGTGGAGCTAACTGACCACAGCTCTGCCCTATGCAGACTTTTTAGGCTTATGCAGTGGAAACTTCAACTGGTTTCAGGAGCACTGAATAGGCAGACCATGACAGCAATGTATAAAGAATATTATCAGAATAACATATAAAAAGTTACTGACTTTGACTAAAGAATAAAAATGATCTCAGTTTAAATGTAACATTAGAGATGTACTATTCAAATTATTAAAGTGTCAAAACTAATATGCATTTGTAATATTGCTGTCTAATAACGCTGACTGATTTGTAGGATCACACTTCTCACTCCCCTCATATACCCAAAATTATTGCCTCGGACCTTTGCAGAAACTTGGTTATGTCAAGAAAAAAAAGGAGATGGTCATTATTTGAAATTTATTGTTCTGGCATGGTATACATTCAGCCAAGTGCTATTTGCTCACTTCAACCTTTAGCCTATATGTAGTTTGGAAATCATTAGTATTGAAAAAATGTAATAAGCTTGACAGTTAGTCCTTTTCATGATTTAGGTTATGGGATTATGCTCCATTATTTCTGTATGCAATTACTGCTGTTCTAATACCAACTCTTTTGTAAACTAGCTTTAAATTTAAGCGAATGCAAGTGGCTGGCAGTCAGACAAATATTTCCTGACTGGAAAGTCTCCACGTTGGTTCGGAGTCGGACAAATAGAAATGCTTATGCATCGTAACATGTTAAGTTCTAAATTATCCATTGTAAATGCATGCACACGCTTGTGGAATTTGAAAGTGCTTTTATGTGCCATAGACTATGTGTGTGTGCATATGTACAGTATGTGTGCATGCATTAAGCCCAACTGAATTCTGAAATGCTGGTGTTACCGCCGTACATCTTAAAGGGATATTTCACCCAAAAATAAAAATTATTATCATTTTTACTCTTCCTCATGTCATTCCAGAATTGTATGAGTTTCTTTCTTTTGTGGAACACACAGGTTTATAAAGACATGAGGGCAAGTAAATGATTAATGCCTGTAACTTCCTTATAAGCCACCTTTCCTATAGACTACAGCTGACTAAACCAGCACTTGAGAGCACAAACTACACTGGAACAGCATAAAACTTCCAAAAAACAGGCTGTAAACATTTTGCTGACGCTGCTGGGTTTTAAAAAGCAAACATACTAGACAGGCCTATCTGCATACTACATCTACCGGTTGTGCTTTTTATATACAAAAACTAAAAAGGTTGTCAGGTCGGAATCTGAAGGTCTAATCTGAATTGCCAGAGGTGGCAACCTCTTGCACACTTTGTGTTGGGCCAAAGAAAGAGTTTGTTTCGGCCAGTATTCTCAAGAGGCAGTGTATGATTACCATAGCATAACAGTTTGAGAGAACAAATCTATTTTTAGAGATGAGAATGCTGATTAGATTCCTGAAACTCTTTACCAGCACAGGCCACTATGGGCCAGCCAAGTGTGCAGGACACCACGGACCACAGCCCTGCTAAGATCCAAATTATTTGAAGTTGAGAGCTCGTAAGTGTTCACCTGCCTGTGCATGAGATACAAGTGCATTGAACACAAACTGTGTTTGACTTTCTTTTTTTTTTGCATTTTAAAATAAGAAATCTTAGTGGTTAACAGGGCTAAAAAAGGGGAAGTGTTTCGCGTGACAACCCTGATTCAACCCCAGATGGAATTAAAACAAATAGTTTTATTCCTCCCCATAGCTTCACCCATGAAAAGCATTTAAAGATCCCAGAGAGAGTAAAACTATGAATGAACGAAGGAACTTATCATCATGCTTTAAGAATAACAACACTTTAATCTTACCCGTGATGTTCCCACAAACTAAATATAACATAATGGTTCATATACATTTCATATATAAACATATACCTATAAACATTTTGTTTCTTTATTTCTTTTACTATTTATTTATTTATGAAGGATTATGTGACACTAAAGACTGGAGTAATGGCTGCTGAAAATTCAGCTTTGTCATCACAGGAATAAATTGTACTTTAAAATATATCATAATAAAAATCAGCTATTTTAAATTGTAATAATATTTCACAATATTACTTTTTTTGCTGTATTTTCAATCAAACAAATGCCGCCTTTGTAAGCATAAAAGGCTTCTTCGAAAAACGTTTAAAAATTGTACCGAACCCAAATGTCAGAACAGTTCAGTATATATATATATATATATATATATAACCTAAAATAAAAGGTCTTTTATATAAACCCTTATAACTTTCTGAACTGTTTGAATCAGTGATTAATGAGCTGTTGAGCAATATATTTTTCCAGCCTATTGCATTAAAATAATGAGCAGCATTCACTTAAAAATGTAGAAAGTACCTGTAATTGTGTTTTTCACTGTCGATGTGGAAACTGTCATACTGAGAGAAGGCCTGGTGTCCGTCCCAGTCGGTCAGCTCCACACGGAGGGCATACTGCTTCTGATTGGTCAGAATGTGCACAAACTCATTTCCCAGCCAGTGTTCGGCCAACACGCTCCCAAAGCCCTAGAAAAGAGGGTGGACTCCGGGTCAGTTTAAGTATCGACTTGGGTCACGGGAGGCCTTGGATAAGGCAGTGGGAAAGAAAATCCTGTCCAAGATATTTCAAGCTTAACAGATTCAACACAGGGACGGAATTCCACAATTCATCATTTTCTTGAGATAATAATTACAGATTTTCATAAAATTTTGACACATGAAGGTATCAATAACCACTGGTCCGTTTCTGAGCCTAAATGTTTAACGGTTGCATCATATCTGGAAAGACTGAGAAAACACTACATTATGACATGACATTCACAGCACTAATATACAATTTTTTCTGTAATGCCAATGAGAAATGCAGAACTGTGTATATAGTATCTGATTAAACATGTAGTGCATGACATGACTTAGATGAGAAGCAGCATGTTGTCTCGTGTCATGTCTATGGACACAAACACACATGACCAAAAAAAAAATAATAATAATTTAACAGTCATGCTTTTGCTTCCAAAAGATATTTTGTACGAGTTTCCATGTCTGTAATCGATCCATTCAGCTCTAAACAGCTGCCGAAAGGCTTCTGAAACATGTCATAATGCAGTGCAGGTGCTAGCAACAATAATAATTACAGTGCAGCGTAACAGAACCATATCCAAGTACGAATACAAATCTTTAATGAGCAACATCTGTAATTAGTGTACCTTTCCCTGCTTCTAGCAAATGAGAAAATTTCCAATGAGGGCAATGGAAATCACGAGTGCTGGATGGATTTTAACATATAGGCATACCATCATGTATTATTTTAACCCTGCATGGTACAAATTGTGTTCTGTGTGTAAATAAGAAATATATATAATTACAAAAGATGTATAAGTAAATGAATAACATTGACACAGTGGAAAATGGTGTTAAAAATTGTCCTTGAATTAAAATTACATTTCTTTATTTCTTGAATTAACGGATGTATTTGTGTAATTCTGAACTGAAAAGTTATTCAATGTTTTTCATAAAAGCATTAAACAACTCTTTCCAAAAAGACGTTCTCACTGTTGCAATTTGGAACAGCTAACACTTTTTGCCTTTTCCATAAAACATTGCTGTATTTATTTTTGTCTGAAAAGAAGAAATACAAATCATAATTGTGTCATTTATGCATAAATGCAATTGTATTATGGAAAGCGCTTCCAAATAAATGAATAAATGTAATATAATCGATGCCGGCATCTACAAACATTCTCAAGGAGTAAATGCAACACAGCCATTTTTCCATTACAATAAAGCATTGTCATATGTAAACATCAATATTTTTAGTAAAACTATGTCATGATGTAGAAGAAACAGTGAAATTTATTAACAGACGAATTTGTGGAGAACTTCAGCAGAGAACTCCACTGTAAAGGGAGTTTTGAAAGGGAAAATCAAAGGTCATATTATTGGATGAGAAACAAGTAAGAAATTAAAGAAAATAATGTTGCCATATGGCTATACTGTATCACAGGGTTAAATAATTAAACAACGCCTATATGAGTTTATATGCAACCAAAATGAACCGTGCTACAGGCAAAGTGATGATGATATCACTCATATTGCGTTACAGACTGACTGAAACCTTCTTCTCACTTATTAATTGCTGGCCCATGGGAGCAGGTTATTGATGAGCAAGAGTAACAGTGCAGTAAACATGAGTATTTTGTTTTGCCTGTAGCACTCCTGTGAGGGTAAAGAGGGTCTGTCCTCCAAAAATCCTTGTAATATGCCTGAAACCTAATGGCTGTTTTTCCATAACCTGTATCTGTTTATGTTGTCCAGGGGTGCTTGTTCTGTTCTGATTGGGTTTCCCCTTGGAAGCCTGGGATCGTCCCTGAGAAGCTTTCTCGCCATGAAACCACATCATTCCTTATGTGAGTAATGTAGAGGAAAAATTAAGATCAATTGTTATTTTATACCCTAAAACAGGGAGTTCTCTTGGGTGTGTGGTTTTCTATACAACACAGCATCGGTGTCTCAACAACGCACTCAGTTGCTATGTATCATTCCAGTAATAGCCATTCAAAGGAAGCCTGGGATCGTCCCTGAGAAGCTTTCTCGCCATGAAACCGCATCATTCCTTATGTGAGTAATGTAGAGGGAAAATTAAGATCAACTGTTATTTTATACCCTAAAACAGGGAGTTCTCTTGGGTGTGTGGTTTTCTATACAACACAGCATCGGTGTCTCAACAACGCACTCAGTTGCTATGTATCATTCCAGTAATAGCCATTCAAAGTGGCCTGTCCAAAACCCTTTCTCTTGTAGAGAGGAATGGAGAAAAGTCAGATTAACACTGCCAAAACCTAGGAACAATTGTTTCCATAGTCTAAATATCTGATTCCATTCTGATGAAGAGTTTCTCCCATCTTCCTTTGGGAAACTGATTGGGAAAAGAGAAATAAAAACCTTGATGGTGCTGATAGTGACTGGCTGGAGCGGATACTCAAATGAGGAGAGGTGGAGTTATTCCAATATTTTATTTGATCCAAACCAGAAAAAAAAAAGAAACTACAAATAAAAGCATTAGCGAGAAGTGCACCAACTCTTTCATGAGAGTCAGTGCCGATTTTATGCCCCTAAACCTCAAACAGGTCCAGGTCACAGACATGGCTTTTTAAAAACATAGCTGTCATTCATTATCATCACACTCCAACACAGACAAATGTTTTGAACTTTTTGTCCTAGATTTGATCTTTGGAATAGGCATATTTGATCTTTGCCGTTTCTGGCAAGTCCAACACTGCGTTAGTTCTCAGTCTGGATCTCTTCGCCAGCTATGCTTCCATCCAAGTTGTGAATTTAATTTACACTATGTTTGCAAGCAATCAGTGGAAGATGCCTCATGGCTGGATGTGACAGTATGTCAGAAAGTTCTGGGAGGTAATAGTACAACCCATTATTTTTACTAAAGCCTTTGGCTCGAGCATTTCAGAATGACCAGAGCAGTGTTGCTATTAAAACTATTCAAAATAATTTTTGTTAATTGAAATAAAGCTGAACAAAATTGAATATTAGATGATTAAATTAAACTTAAAAGATTTGAAATGGGTGAAATAAGTTGAAGTTGAAATACAAAAATGACTAAAACTACAACTAAAATAAATTAAAGAAATACAAATAAAATGGCAAAAGTACATACAAAATGAAATAAAAATAAAAATGCTAAATATAAAGATAAAAGCTATTTTAATGCTATTTTAATGTAATGCTGGACCAGATCAACATTCCTTCTCTGACTGAATTATTTAGTCAGAAAACTTGTCTTTTTATTGAAAAAAAAAAAAAACTACCTAGATTATAACTATATAAAAATATAAAAATATTAGAAACAATAATAAAAAAAAACAAAACATGTACACTGCATGTAAATTTGTATGTTGCATGTAATTTTTTTTTTTTGCATCTTGGTGTTTCCCTGTACTTTTTAATGCAATATCTCAAAACTCAAATACAAATCTGTGGAAGAAAGCAGGATGTGTAATTGGCTTATATGTAAACTTTCTTCTCAGTCGACAGTAGTGTTAGAACTAATCGACTAGTCAGATCAACATTCAATGGAATACCACATCACATTATTACAAATAATGTCTGAAAGTATGATTGAGTGATTTAATATTCATAACAATTGTTACGTTTTGGCCTGTTGCAGCAACAACAAAGCCAGCACTGGTGTCCCAGTTTCGCCATGACTTTTTTATTTATACTGTTTATTTTTTTCCAATAAAGAATAACACTGACTACATGCAAACTATCATTCCTACGCACAGGGAGAATCCCATTATCTCATTTGACTCAGCTGTTTCCTACTCTATAGGGTGTCACGGTTATCCTTCACTCTTTTTAGTCTAAATCAAAAACAGATGAACAGAGAAGATATATCACCCATATGCATTGCTTAAATGAGAAAGATGAAGATCATGTCCACCGTTACAGAGCGAGTGAAACAGAGGTTAGTGGGAAGGAATATGGCTACATACCATTTTATATTCTTTCCATGTTCTCTGGAAGTCCACGCTACCATCTTCACGTCTTTGGATTACAGTCCAGCCTCCGCCCGCAGACTCCATGTTACAGTACACCTGTTTGGAGACAGACTTGCACATCACACATACAAATATACAAGGACGGAAATACCACAAACCATTTATCTTGACCTTATGGATCTGTATATCCTTATAACAACAACAGATACCCCCATTAGCTTAGTGACTTCTCCAAACAGTGATTAGTGGAGAGGTCGAGTAGCAGGCCTGAGATCAAAGCTGTGGCGCTCAGGGACACCTGGCTGTAATCTAGCACAGTGGGTAGAAAGCCATGGCGTCACCTCACACACACCCAGCTGAACACACAGACCAACCTGGTTGCAATTAATCCAGTATCGGTGGCTGGAGCAACACCAAAACCAGATATTCAGGGACAGATATGTACATTCACGGATGCAGCCTTTTTCAAACACATTCACGCTGTAAAAGGTGAAAATGTGCACTTCTACCTCACCCTTAAAAATGACTTTTGTTAGTGTCCACATAATAGTCAGTTTGATTCAATCATATTAAATAGTATTTCTGACCAGAACAAAATGAGTAAATTTATGTTACCACATGTACACTAGCACATTTTAGGTTACTTGACAAAACCGCATACAATGCACCCTTGCCTGAAACCAAACAGTTCCCCCCCCAAAAAATATCCTCTTTTATGTTCCACAGACCACAGAAAAAAAGACAAAGTCATACAGTTTTGGGACAATTTGAGGGTGAGTAAATGATGATTTTTGTGTGTGTGTGTGGGGGGGAACCTTTTAATAACCTTTTAATAACCTCTACATGCTTCCTTGTGATATACAGAAATATGTAGTTCTCAATTGATCAAAAATGGGCTGTAGGTATGTTCTGATAGTAGGAAAACAATGCTAAATGAAAATAATAATTAAGAACCAATTAAAATAAAAAAAAAAACAGTAAAACAAACAAATACAGCTAATGTTGCAATTACTTTCACTTCTATTTAAAATGAAATAAGCTGTAAAACAAATTCAAAGTGCAAAAAATAAAATACAAATAAAAAATACATAAAATCAAATCAAATAAAGATTTCTTTAACTGTTTGTGATCTTTTTTCTTTTCTTTTGCATCTTGGTGTTGACTCTTGGTCTTTTTAATGCAATATCTCAAAACTCACATAAAAATCTGTGGATGGAAGCAGGATGTGTATTTGGCTTATATGTAAACTTTCTTCTTAGTCGACAGTAATGTTAGAACTAATCGACTAGTCAGATCAACATGCAATGGAATACCACATCACATCAAAAAAAAAATAAAAATAAATAAATAAATAAAATAAAATACAGTATTTCTCCTGTTCCACACCCTCATGCATTTAACGGGACTATTAAAGTATGTTGCTTCATTGGCAAAAGTAAAGTAAAGTAAAGTAAAGTAAAATAAAATAAAATAAAGATGTCTTTAGCTGTTTGTGATCTTGTGCAAAATTTTGTGGTCTTCTTGATATTATGCAGGTATGATTTTTATGTGACTTCTGTGTTGTGTTGTCTTTTCTGTACCAAAGACAATTTTAACAGTAGAGGACTTCAAGGTATCATTTTATCATTTGGGTCACCACTTTACGACCACTGTAAAATCTCAATCCTGAAAGTTGTGCCATTATGTTTACCTCTTGATATTATATTATTCCAGCATAGCTGATCTGAAAACAGAATTCCTACCTTTTTAGTCTCTTGTGGGCTAATGTTGATGGTGTAAACTCCATTTTTCTGGAATCTCGCTTGGTAGAGGTCGGCACAGTCCCGGAACTTCCTCTCCTCGTCAGCTTGCTTTGTGCTGTTTGGCACCACTAAATACACAAAGAAAACCATGTTAGAAATAGCAAAAACATAAACGATCAGAGAAATAATAAATGGAGCTGTTTATATTGGTACATGTACATCAGAAAACGTCTGTGGATCTGCCCTGATGCGTTGAACAAATAAAACAATTTCCACTCACTCTCTCGCTCAGCATGACCAAGCCTCATATTCGGCCAAACAGAACATGTCAACACCGTGACTTCCATTTCAACAAGACAGCAATACTGTAGACAAACAGCCTAATTATATTTTAACAAACCTCTCAAATCCTGCCAGGTGACAGCTATTTGTCGAGACCCACTGAGCTGTGCGACAGTTTAATCCGAAATAATTTACATCAACCTCCTTGAATTTAATAAAAGAGGGTTTAAGGTGGAATGTTCTGGAGCTGGACCAGAAACAGCTCCTAAAAAGGAATCCTGTACGTATATATGTATAGAAGAGGATTATTTACAAATGCATAATTGTGATTGACAATGAGTATACAGTATTTATTTCTTTAGCTTCTGTCAGCAGGCCTACATGGAGGGATGTGTATAAAGCTGTCCGCACTTAATATCTGTTTCATGTTACAAACCCATTAAAACAGTTCAAAATATGCAAGCAGAGCAGAAAATGACACTGCTGTACAATATCAGAACTAATAATGTTGAAAAATATTGCACGCTGTGGAATAAATCACATCCTGAGTTAATGGAATAAATAATACACAGAGTCACGGCAAATTCAAAATATTGTATCGGTTTTCATGCAGGATTTCAAATCTGGTTAGAATTATTTTGAAATTACAAAGGACAGCAAGGACTTCCAAGTTCGCTTGCATTATCAACATGATCTTCTTCCAGTGACTGACATATTTCTAAGTGTGAAAGTCTTTTAATCAAAGTGCTGATCTCCGGCTCTCAGAGAGGAGCAGCTCGGCTCTGACAGACCTCTGCAAGCCAACAGCTGCATCTCTTTCCATCTGCAGACAATTACGCCGCCAATATTTTGAAACCAAGCAAGAGTCTGCGGACAAAATACTACAAGCTATAAATTTCAAGTTCCTGTTATAACAAGTGGTTTATATTTACCCACCGTGTCCTAGTTATATAGATGGAAATTCCTTCCGATTCCCCTCTACTTTTTTTTCTTTCATGGCTAAAGACCGCATCTCAGTTTTCACACTATTGTTGTTTCTGTTGGGACTATTTAAGAAGAGGAGATGTCACTGCTAAGAGAGACGTGTCAGGGGTGTTTAGGTAGAACTTTGATCCCTGTCGCAGGATGGAGGGCTTGGGCGGGCAACCCTTCATTCAGGGATATTATTCCTGCCGCTTCGGTAAAGGATTGAGTGTCAGTGACAAGGATCTCCCGCTGTGACAGGTTGACAGAGGGGAACTTCGCACTGCGGCGTCTAACACAACAAAAACCCAGCTGTGTCAGACAACGGCAATTTACCGCTTATAGCCAGGAGCTGAAAGTGGCAGGACTGGAGAGCAGAGTGACAGACAAGTTCAACCCGTGCAAAGACAAAACACGACGTTAACGACAGAAAATAAATCCTAATATTTACTGCTGTAAAAATAAATGTATAATGAAAAATGTATCAACAAATAAATAAATAAAATGTAAAAAAAAAAAAGCCTAATGCTCATAATTGCACATTTAAATAAATATATATGGGAAATTGTAATACAATATGATTAAAATACAATGTATAATATAAACAAAATAAAATACTATAAAATATCATAAAAATAAGCAATAAAGCATGGTGCTAGCAATGCCAAAGTCATTGATCGGATTTCCAGGAAAAGCAAGAACTAAAATCTACAATAAAATGTGTACCTTGAATGCAATGTAAGTCGCTCTGAATAAGATAAAATAAAATGAAATGAAATAAATAATGCATATCATTATGAAAATTATTGCACATTCAAATAAAAAATGATCATGATTAATCCAAGTTGTTGTAGAGAGTTATGAAATATTTTAAAATGCTTAGGGTTTCTCTTATGTTGAATTTGGAGTTTGGTCCTAACTAATGGCACAAACTACGTGGATCTTTGCAAAACATGGACTTCTGACTACGTCTGAATGCCCAGGAACAATTTTACATGTAACTCTTAGCTAAACTATGGTAAATTGAGCTATTAAACAGCTTGCGTCCTGGCTCATAAAATTATAATCACATTATTTATTTACATTTGAATTCTTGGTGGTTCAGTTGGGACTTTTGTTTGGAACAAGTTGATGTGAAAAGAACATCCAAGTAGAGTGATTTTATAAATCAGGATTCTCCACACGCTCACAGACACAAAATAAAGTTTAAAATAAGCAAGAACTCAAAATCCCACTGCGGTGTGCTGGCGAAACGAAAACTCAAACTACTGCACTGCATCTTTATATAAACATCTGAGACGATAAAGTCTGATTCTTTCAATTGGACTGAGAGGCCGTGAGAATGATGACCACCAGCTGAGTGAGCAGAACTGCAATAATGAGTATTTTTTTTAAAACATTTCCTAAGCCATAAACCATCTTAATCATAATGTGTGCCTAAACCCAAAAATCATATTCTGACATATTACCTTTCTTACAGTATATTTTCATGAGTCATAGCCTGTCCCTAGTGAACTTAATTTGGAGACAGAAAATAATATTTTGTTCTTCTAATCACAAAAATGATTGATGCCAGTGAGTAAATAATAATTAGCAAATAGGGATTTATTACAGCCTTCCAAAGGGGAGAACAGTTATATCTAAAAATGCAATCTAATGAGTTTTTGCTTATATTTTTCATAATAACCCTTAATAATGCTTCAAATAATATCAAATAATATTTTCACAAATAACAGCTTTGCATTTATGAACTCACTGCAATCAAAGATGCTGTACAATGTTTTAAAACCATCACATCTCTTCTTTTGACGCACATGGCGAGGCAGTTAACTTGCAGTGAAGTTCAAATATTTAGGTACATGAAGGTTAAGTACATTAAACAATGACATATTCATGTTTGAATGAGAAAAGCAGCACGATAAACAGTGCTTTCTCTCATTTTTTCCCAAAAAGGGAGTTTAGAGCTTTACTAGAACATTGTTTTGCAAGTTTGATTGAGTCATGATTTCAGACAGAGACCTACAGTGCCTTCCTTGCCACCTATTTGGACGGGCTGTCCCACAGGAGTCATTAAGTTTGACGAATTCAGCCAGAGGTCAGGAAAATGACCTCTACAGCACACTGGAGCTGGACAATGCAACAAAGGGCTATTTAAAATCTCCATTTATCATAATTTGTTTGGTAATGTGCGCAATTATGGTTGCTTGTTAAAATCACCAAGAAATCATGTTATGGGTCCCATCTTACCATTACGCCAAACCACAGTGAACCTAAACTGTATTTTATACGCTCAATCGACCCACTAAATGAACCCAATTGTGAAGTTTTATTTAGGTTTCAAGTCCAGGCACAGATCAAAACCAAGCTGGAATAAAAAATGGTCTCATTTAGTGTGATTGGCTGATGTACAAATAGGAACGTCTAAATCCAAGAAGCTGCAGGGTGTTCCAATATGTGCTGATATTCTTTCCTGTGTGTGTTCTCTTACCGGGGTACTTGGATAGCTACTGTCAGATCATGAAAACAAATAAGCATTTATTTTAGAATATAAATTTGCAAGTGTGGGACCTGGGATTGCTCCAAAGCAATGACTACATGTTCAACAAACAATTCAAATAGTACAGAGCAGTAGATGTCAACCATAGTTACACAAACCCAAAAGTTTGGGGTCGGTAAGGTTTATTAATTTTTTTTTTATAAAAAAATGTTATTTTTATTCAGCAAGGATGAATAAAATCAAAAGGATGAATTTTATCAATAGTGACAGTAAAGACATTTACAATGTTACAAAAGATTTGTATTTCAAATAAATACTGTTTTTCCCAGTCAAAAAAACTAAACAAAAAAAACCCACATTAAGCAGCACATCTGTCCTCAACATAATAATAGGAAATGTTTCTTCAGCAGCAAATCAGCATATTAGAATGATTTCTGAAGGATCATGTGACTCTAAAGACTGAAGTAATGATGCTGAAAATTCAGCTTTTACATCACATTAATAAATTACACTTTAAAATATATTAAAATAGAAAATACTTATTTTAATTTGTAATACTATTTCACAATATTACTGTTTTTACTGTATAGTTGATCAAATAATCAAATGCAGCCTTGGTGAGCTTCTTTCAAAAACATTTAAAAATCTTAATGACCCAAAACTTTTAAACGTTAGAGTCAATGACACACAACAGAACATGATAAATATTCCTTCATACTGTTCTAAACTCTTATGACTCATAAGTTCTTCAATGGAACACTAAAGAATAAGTTTAGAAGAATGTCTGAACTCTCCATATTCCAAGTCTTTCATCTCAATATGACAGCTTTGTATGAGAAACACTGAAATCTAACTACTTATTCACTGAAAAACTTGTCTTGCCTGTGGTCACCATTCATTGCCAATGTATGGAAAACAGAAGCTTGCATAAATACAATCTTATAAATAACCACGTTTATATTCCAAAGAACCAGCATGGCTTCATGAAAAAGACCATGTTTGTTAACCAGTATTTCTGCTGGTAAACAGCATGGCTTTAATAAACAAAATTGTCTGTTTTTTGCCATGTGATATGAAACCACTGTCATTTTAAGGGCCACTCAAAACCCAAAAGAAAAAAGGAAGTAGAGTTGCTTTTGGTGCCCTCACAGCAAGCTCAGGAGTTTGAGTCGACTCCATGACCTGTGCAGTCCCATCTCAGACATTCAAGGTAAATTTTCTGTGACCACAGAGACGTGGGGCAGACGTCGGATAGACATGGGGCCAAGAGGCCACACTTGGGTTGCAGCGGGGGGAAACGAGGGTAATGAGTTCACTACACTGACTCCTGCTGGTAGAGGCAACCACAAGGTTTAGCGGGAAATCGCCAATCCCAGATCACTGCGCTGGGGCTACGTTAGGCCTGGCCTGTAACTCAATCAGGGGCTGTTTGACATTTCAGTCAACTGTTAACCACAGGCAGTGTGCTGAAGCGTGATAAGCCGCATCCGTTGAGGTTCACAGCGCTGTCTGGCTAAACGTGACATTTAACAAGAAAACAACACATTTCACCTACCAGGAAGAAGCTTTTCTCATTGATAACATACTGTGTAACGGGCTATTTTTATCTAAAAATGCCCTGTTCTGCCTGCTACATTTTTAGTTTTCTATCACTTCCTGTTTGACATTTGCTTTAGGAATGTCGCGCACCATTTTTAGGGGGTTGGGGATGCCAGTGGTGGTCCTGGCCTGCTTGGTGATTCAGGTGAGATAATATACTGTATACAGTGGTGGCCAAAATTATTAGAACACTAGTATTTTCACCAGCTAAGTCAGTTTTTCTATCTTTTGCTGTAGTGTGTCAGTAGGAAATATCAGTTTACATTTCCAAACATTCATTTTGCCATTAATTGTAATAATCCAGTGAGATTTTTGTTTGCACAAGGAGTCTGACAACAGCCAGTGCTCCACACAGAGATCTGATCTGATCATCATCCAGTCTGTCTGGAGTGACATTAAGAATCAGAACAAACTGAGACAGACTAAATCCAGAAGAACTGTGGCAACGTCTCAAAGATGCTTCAAGAGACTTACCTGCAAAACTACCTGAAAAACAATGCGCAAGTGCACCTAGGGCAAAAGCTGCCTTAAAACGCAAAGGATGGTCACACCAAATTTTGATTTAATTTAGTTAATAGACGTTATTAAGTTGTTAAAGAAAATCTATTTATGGCATTATTTTTGACAGCATCCGCATTTTAGAGCATTTTTACATAAGTGCCTAAAACTTTTTAACTGGACTGTAGCTTTGCAGGTAGGTCTCTTGAAGCGTCTTGGAGATGTTTGTTCTGATTCTTCATGTCACTCCAGACAGACTGGATGATGGTGAGATCAGATCTCTGTGTGGAGCACCGGCTGTTGTCAGACTCAAATCTAAGCTTGAAAAGGGACATAGAGAAAGACAAAGAAAAGGAAGAAAGAAAGAAAGAAAGAAAGAAAGAAAGAAAGAAAGAAAGAAAGAAAAAGAAAAAGAAAGAAAGAAAGAAAGAAAGAAAGAAAGAAAGAAAGAAAGAAAGAAAGAAAGAAAGAAAGAAAGAAAGAAAGAAAGAAAGAAAGAAAGAAAGAAAGAAAGAAAGAAAGAAAGAAAGAAAGAAAGAAAGAAAGAAAGAAAGAAAGAAAGAAAAAGAAAGAAAGAGAATTTATCCTGAGAATATCCTGATGTACATACATAAATAAAAAGTAGTATTTATGAATTTATGTAATCTCAAGGACCTAATATCAAACGAATAAAAAGATGAATGAATGAACGAATGAATGAATACAAATATTTCCAATTTAAATATGAGCAACTCTGAGTATATGCAAGTCCACAGCTAGGAAGTAATTTCCATGAAAAAAATCTGTGCAAAAAATGAGATCTGTACTTACATGCTGTGCCTCCATCCTTGGTGCAGAGGCTGAGCAGGTTGCGTACGGTATCCATCAGGTCCTGCTGTTGTCTCTGCAGGGCGGTGCTGTTACCGGTCGCTCGACTCAGCTGAGCCTCCAGCTCCCGGATCACTGAGCTCTGCCTGCTCACCAGCGCCTGTAGACTGCTCTTCTCCTCCCGCAGGGCCTCCAACTCTTCTCTGTGCCTATCCTCCATCTCCTGCATTTTTTCCTCCAGAAAACTGAGGAAAAAATGAGGGAAAGCCATAGTAGAGAAAAACAAGGAAAGGATGGTTAAAGTACAAAATGATGGGAAATGTAACAATCTAAGACAAGTTCCTGCAAGTATGGGTCAAATCGGGCCACATACTCATAAATTTGGGTCACAGTATGTTGTAATAAAATGTATGCCATGATATGAAAGATTCAGCCAAAATATCATTGTTACAGCAATCACTGTAACTACTATAAAACCCTTAAATGAATATGGGATCTCCTTCAAAGTCAAGTGATTTTTATGTATTTTTTTAAGACTGTGGTGGCCAGTTTTTGGCAAAAACTGGTTTCCATGGTAAAACTTAGTCAAGGTTTACAGAAAACAGCATCAAAGTGTCAAATCAGTGATAGTTTTTTTTCAAACTTTATATTATTAACATCTTTTTATATGTTACAATGAAGAACTTGTTCTTCATATCTACAATTTTACTGTTTTTATTCAAATGGTTTACTTCAAATGTTCCATGAAACAATAACCTTTGTTTTAGTCATGAAGAGCATATTTAGATAGTTAACATAGATATATCATATTGCATGTTTTGCAAGTGTGGCTCACAGGTAAGCAAACTGTCTTTTATTTGCCGTGGGCCAAAAAAGTTAGGAATCCCTGGCTTCATCAAGGTATGCCTTTGATGATACTGTATTTATGTTTCAGTATTCAAAGGCAGAAGGCCGCTTCATTACAGCTGTAATAAATACTGATATGAATGTAGCCAATCTCCATAATTTACACAGCATACAAACAAACACAGTTCATCTTATAGCTTTGGGCATTAGTGCACGTCTAAAATGGATCCAAGCCTTAAATCTGCACTGTACATCTTGGAAACCTGATGCACGCTGGGCTGGATTCACCAGCTTATTAAAACAAAATTCAATCCACATAGAACTTTAAAGGAATGTAAAATTAATTTTAGACTGAAAGAGGAGAAAGTCATAATGTCAATCTATATTATAGGATGAGTAATTACATTAACTGTGGTAACAAAAACACTAGACATAAACGCATACTTTTTTTTTTTTTAAATAGAGAGATATGAATGCTCGTGTCCTTTCAACAACAGCTGGGCTCAAAGCAGAGAGATCACTGGGAATTAAACCCTCGTTTTGACAGGAACAGACATGTCCCACCAGAACAATCAATACATAGAAAATTGGAAAGTGTTCCAAAAGCTTTGCATTGCAAAATTTGTCTTCACAGAGGACAAAGTTTAACGGCGGGTCAGGGGACATCACTCATATCTTGGCAAGTTCTGTTGCACTGCACCGTATGGGACCGAGCTAATGTCTGAAAGCTTGTGTTGTCAAGAATTGAAAATCATTTTGTGCAATCATCTGTATTGTGGTTCTGGCATAAGAATTAGTATTTTCTAAAAATTACAAGCGAGTGAGATTTGAACATCTGTATTGGCAGATTAAACAGCAGCACAGTGCTTAAGCGGGGTCACTACTGTAGCTCTGAAATGTTTTTTGTGGCTCATTTTTTCTTGTGTGCAGTGCTGGAGAGTTACAAATTAAATGCAGCAATGAGACTAACTTTACTATATTCATCAATAGTATAACAGTAGTAAAAACAGTAATAAAAGTTCACCTATTTGAGTTCCTGCAGTATGATTGTAACACCCAATTATGATATTACTGGATAATTATACACTTTAAAAGACATTTATGGAAGTCTTTTTTAATATATAAAAATATGTTGTTCAACGCCTTTATATATGTACATATACACTTTTATATATTTCAATTTTGCATATTTGTGTGTGTGAGGAGTTGTGTTGGAGTGGGAGGTTTACCCATTCTTGTCATGGATCTTGTTGATTTCATTTATCTGTATCATAAGTTGTTTCTCCAGCTTGTTGGTGGATAGTGAATTCTCCAGCAGCTGAATTTCCAACCTTGATGTCTGATTCAAAACCTAAAAACAATAACATTCCAATAAAAAGTACAGTAATCCTTCCGCAAAAACACAGACCTTAAAATCATTAAGTAAGTTAATACTAACTGAGCGGTACCTCAGGAGAAGTCATAAACAAGACCACCATACGGTAGCACTTAGGAACAGTTATTCTCAACCTCAACCTCTTATTTGACAAATCAGCAAAACACAACTGTGCTGTATCCCTCCGTGTCTCATTAAAGCACACAAGTCATAAAAAGATTCAGCAACAAAAATATTAGCATGATACTTAAAAAGAGATTGTATGTCTAATGCAGCACTAGTGCTTTTCTTGGCTGTATTTGAGGCATATTAAAGGGATACACAGAAAAAAAAGATTGTTCGCTTAATGGAGCGTGAAATGGATCCTGGGAGGAACATACCTGTGTCTCGACATCGGTTAGCTTGCGCGTCTGCTCAGCTGTTTGGGAGAGAAGACTGGTGCCCATCTCTAACATGGCCGCCGTGTGGTTATGAACGGCACTCTGTTGTAACTGCACTATTTCTGTCTTCATATTGTCTTTGATGTAGTTCTCAATCTGTGGTGACAAGCAAAAAGACCATTTTAGAAAACATACACCGAAATTTGGACATTTAACCCATGTCTATGATTGTCTTAACAGAACTATGTTCTAAGAACGCTTTGCTAACGTTACCAATAAGTTAAAAAATATATATATTTCTGAACAAAGTTGTCTGACCGCTCAGAATGTCCAGTTTTTTTTCTTGGTTATACGAACGTTAAGTGAGCATTCCATTTCATCATTTGGCAAACATTATTGAAATGTTACTTTTGAATGTTCTCTGAGTGTTCTTAAACAGTACAGTAGTAACAATTGACAAACATTAGTTCCATGAATGATGTCCTAACATTTTTGGAACATTTTTAAAAACCATATAACTTAGAACGAAAATTCTATTAACATTATTGGAAGAACATTTGTTCATAACTTTGAGAGAAACTTCCCTAACTAAAGTTCTGAGAATATTCCCTGTTAGCTGTGTTTGCATTATTTAACAAAATAATCAATTTGGCAGTTATTGTAAATACATTTATCACAAAGCCCTTTGCACCTCACTCTTCCGTCACTTGATATTTTATTTTAGTGCATCAATCTATTAAATTACTTAGGACCATGATCCGCACTCACTAAATATTCTTCTTTATAGTGTTTATTTTACATTAATCACCAATAGGATAAAGACATAAATGACGATATAACTATGTATTTCTGATGATCTTAATCATTGTACTTTCCATTGTTATACATTTTGAAATTTAATTCGGGTAGTAGATGATGGTGATTGTTTATTTATTAAATTATCTATTAAACTGTTTAATTGTATAATTGTGATAAATATGTGATTCTATGTAATTCATGTTCTAGTTGTGGGTATATTATGTAATGTTTTGGTGGAGGTGAAGATTTTGGGTTGTATACAAATGGACATTGTCCAGTATTTAAATGCAATATGTGAGCTTTTAAATGATTGAATATTGGCTAATGAATGATGCCAATATAATTAAGGATTTAAAAAGTGGGTGGAGGGATTGAATTACTCACTGAAGAAGGCCTTGAGTCAAAACATTTGTGTTTTTATCCTATTGGTGATTAATGTAAAATAAATGCTATAAAGAAGACTATGCGGAGTGCGGATCATGGTCCTATACAAAGAAATGTATCACAAATCAAATTTTTCACTGAATATAAAATTGTCAGATTTAAATGGCATTTAAAATGCCAAAAAAGCCTAAACTAAAGTAAAAAAAAAAAAAGGATCAAGCTCAGATGACCTCTGAAGCCTGACACAGTTGACACTCCAGTGGCTGTAAAATCCATTCAGAGGTAAAACACACTTAACTTGACAACTCCAACAGTCCTAAAGACACTTTAACACCAAGAGCACATGGAGAGTTTGACAAACTTTTTAAGAGGCCAATAAAACGAAAGGAGACACCATTTCAGCACAAGGACACAGGGGTAATCAAACCCATCACAGTTATGACTTCCTTTACAAAAAAAGACACAGTAACTCTTTAAAGAAAGGATATTTCCATGTTGGCACCATTTTAAAGGAATTTCTTGTCTAAGCTTCTTCATGATGACCTGGAGCGGCTCAGTTTTAAACAAACTTAAACGGAGCAGTAACACAAACTCTCGAAGAGTCAGTCTTAAAGGTAGGTGGAAGCAGATGTAGGTCATTTGTTCAGAGAGGAAGAGATGTAGATATCTAGCTACAGGAGACGCTTGGGTTTATCATGAAGGCTTTCATTCTAATCTTCTAGCTGGAGAGATGACAAGACCAGAACAAGCTTTAGAAACACAAAGACTACTTCTGTTGATTAATCCTCAAGAGATGACCACTGACACTGAGGTCTTTAGAAATGATTAGAAATTACATCTGGGCTCGTTACTTACCATCAGTTTCCAAACCTCGTGCTTCAGCTCCATCACTACTGGCTAGAGTTCAGTTTTGTTTTTGTTTTTTTGGCTGTATCATTTGAAATCTCTTATAATTTAATAGCATGCTTAAATGTAAAAATTACTTTTTAATTGTGTTATTGTGTATTTTTATAAAAACATTTACATTTAACAATGTCATTAAATGATTAGTATTTTTAATTTAATAATGTATTCAGTATATCAAAAGATTTCTATATGTAAATATAAAATCAAAAAAAATAATCAAAAATATAATTCACATTTTATCGGTCATCGCATTACAATTATCTGCTTATTATCAGAATTTTTTTTTATGTCAGTTCATCCCTACGCAGAACTGTACATTATGCTTCAGTCTTAAACTTGTGCAAGCTGTGAGGTGCAACTTGTTCATATGTACATCAGGACACATCACCAAGTGAAATCTATACACCCTTATTTGTGACAGAAAATATCTGGCTGCAAGACACTTCAGCAAATCGACAGTGACAACAGAGTCGCCCACTCCATGTTTTCCACGTTTCCAGCGGGGTGTTTAGAAAATGGAAGTTGTGGTTGAATAAGAGAAATCGGCTGTAATTTCAAAGTTTGGAGCACTCCAGCTTATGACTCTATGTAGAGATTTAAAAAAGTTGGGATTGAGATATGAAGTCACTGTGATATAGATGTTAGAATATGAAAAACAAGAAAGGAGAAACCAAATGAAAGGGTGTGGAAAGCTACAGTATCTCTTCACTTGCCAACATAAAAAGTGACATCCATACACCAAACAGCTGCGAACACACAGTTAGAAACACAAAATTCAACCTGTTACTGCTTTAGCCACTAGCAACCTGTCATGTAGAATTAAGATTGCAGACTAATATTCCTTCTTGGCAGTGATTATAAAGCCAATGCTGTTGTTCCGATTACTTCACTACGTAATAGGTTATTGTGAAGCAAGTTATACAGATACAAGTGTCTCTTTACAGTAAACAGTCAAAGCTTGATGGAACTGATTGGAAGGAATACAAAAGACCTATAACACTGCAGGCATTAGACATGTTTTTAGCTGCAATTCGATCAGTAGTTTTGCCGAGACATTTGAACTATGTCTCTAAAATGATATTAAGCTTCGCAATCTGGGTCTGTGTCTTCCATTAAGCTCTCTCTATGGATAAAGTGTTTGACTCTAATCCAGTTTAAGAGGCAACGGAGGTTTGAACTCTGAAACAATGTTGGCTGAAGTTTTGAGTGTGAGTAAAGTCACCTTCAGAAGGGTGTGGATGCTATTCTGGTGGCCTGGAGAAACATTAGCCTAGAGATCCTTTGCTTTGACTTTCTGAGGGAATTTCGCTTGTGTCATGCTCTAAACTATAGTGGGTGTCCTGAACGGAACAAAGGAAGGAGAATCAAGATTACACAAACAGAAACGTTGTGTAAAAATATCAGAGGAAGCAGTAAAGGGCTTTAGTGGGTGTATGGTTATTTCCCACTTCCATTCACAAATAAACGTGCCTACCCAAAGACAACAGATGAGGTAAAGAACGATTGACTTGAGTCATTTAAAAGCATACTAGTGTTGGTAATGACAAATAAAATCAAATGTAATGATGAAAGTGAACCTATGTTGAGCTAAAGATAAATAATAAAAGAAAAACACTGAGACAGAATGAGACATGTCACCTGCACTTTGTCTCAAAGGCACATTCACACATGCAGGAGTTTGATAGAACAGAGTGCGATCAAGTGTAGGACCCTGTCGAACCCGTTGCACCTGGGGGATTGGCTTACATCTCACAGCTGCCCACCAGCAGAGGGTCATGCCAAATGAGTCAAGGTCAGCCATATCAGCACTCAAAAATCTGACCTGAGAGCAGTCACGTCTATATCGATATCACTATGCCGTTTAAAGCCAGCAAAGTTTACCGCTTGACTTGCAGATTGATTGTGTTTATTTGCAAAGTGCACTAATGTGAGAAGGTGAACGGGGCTGCTCTACTGAGTGATGTTCAAGAGGCCCAAATTTAAGAGGTCAAAAAGTCCCATTGCAGCCAAGACCCTGTTAGATTTGAATTTGTTATTCTATTTGAAGTTGTGCTTTTAAAACCTTTCACATTCTCCAAAACTGCAGCAAATATGTAAAACATTACAAACAATAACTAACATTTATTAGTGCGATTTTCCACATTTGAAAAATAATAGTGAAACAAACTATGAAATAGAAGTACAGCAAGAATGAATGACCAAAAATGTCAACAGAAATATATATTTTTTTCATTTTCTATTTTTTATAGTTAATAGTATCAATAGCATGATTGCAGTAATGTATTTGTTTGTAAGTACTGTATTGATAATAATATACTGTAACTGCATCACTGTGCTTAATAATACTGGAAAATAAAAATGTGATTGCACATTGGCTCTGACATTAAGAATAAAATAGGCTTTTAATAACAACACTGAAGGACAAATGATAATGATTCATTTAATTTTAGTTTGTAGTTTCAAGAAAACAAGAAAAATTAATTCAATCAGATAAGAAAAAATAGTTAACTTTTTCTGTTATGGTGCACAGTTTTCCCCTTTTTTCTGGATTTTTTGTTTGTTATTGAATACACTTAAAGTAATAATAATAATAAAAAAAAAATTCTTACTAGAAAAAATATTCCAGTTAAAGTTTACCATAGAAGGTTCAACTATATTTGCTTTGGATGATTGTTATTTCATCAAATTAAATATCCCTGCTTCCATGCAAAAAAAAGCAAGAAAAGGAATATATACAGGGATCACAATTTAAGTCCTTCAGAAAAAAGGAAACACTCCTTCCCAGAATCATAAAAATACACATTACTCAAGCTGTGGAGATGAAGGGGTTTTAGAGAGGCATAACACCCGACTTGCTTAAAGAGCCACTAAATCACCCTTCTGTGTGCTGAAGAAAATCACCCAACTGAACGGAATATCTCCCAACTGTTTACAGTTGACACAGGACTGTAAACGTTTAGGGGTCTGTGAATTACAGGTCGGGTCACATGATGAACATTGAGGTCAGTGATAACGACTACGGCTGGTGCAGTGACGCCAACCTCTGGCTCTCTTACTGCTGTAGTGGC